GCCACGCTGAGCCAGCGCGGCGGTGAGTTGCACCTTGGGACACCACCCGCCTACTATCTGTTGTGGCCTGGTTCGCCCACGAGGGACTCACTAGGTCGAGTTCGGCCCCGGCCGGGGAGCAGGCCGAGGGGGGGGATGTGTGTGTGTGAAACATAGGCCTCAATTCAAGGAAGCAAGGGAAGAACAAGGACGGAGGGTCGCAACAACAGCAGCAACAGCCGGAAAAGCTTAAGCAGCTGACGCCCAAACCGCCAGCCACGCCGCGCCCCGACGCTACTGCCACCACCAACCATGGCTCGGCTAAGCCCCAAGAGGGAGAGCCGAAGCCTACTCAAACGGGAGAATCCGCCGGTGCGTCTGCGAGCGTAGCACCCTCGCAGAGCGATCACCATCGCGGATATTTTCACGCACTGGTTGGTGATGGTCGCGACAGCGACAACAAGAGCAGCGCTAGCGACGGCGCCAAGGCGGGCAACCTCGACACCGACCCACCCCCTGAGGATGACGATGACGACAACGTCGACGACGACCTTGCGCACGACATCCTGCAGAACCGCGCCGACGCCGCCAGTCAGCAGAGTGGACCGCTCCTGGCAAGCGGCGGACCGCTGGAGGCCGTCCTCGTCAGCGCGGTCTCAAAGGTAGTGGAGGCGGAGAAGGCCCCGCCGGCATGGGTCCGTAGCATGCTTATGCCGGGAGCCGCTCACCAGCAAGACACCTAGAGTAGATCGCGCGCATCAGGAGCGCCTCCGTCTTCTTTTCCGACACCGTTGGCCCGAACTCCCCGAACACCTCAACGATGATGGTCATCATTATCGCCAGTCCTTCTGCAGACCTCGATACGACGCCGGCGTCATCGGCACAAAGCATCCCCCATACTGCCCTCCGTACTCGGTCAAGAGGTGTCTCCATCCCACCCCGAGCTTCCGTCTTCCCCTCCGCCAAGCACACCAGGCTCCGCAGAACAACATCATCCTCGCTTAATCGGATGACAACGACCTCGAGGACCTTGGCGAAGAAGATGTTGAACAGCAGTGGGGATAGCACACATCCTTGTCGCACGCCCTGTGTCACGAAGAACCAGTCCGATAGTTCTCCGTCGTCCATGCGCACCCGGGCCCGCATTCCATCGTGGAATTGGCGGATGACTTTGATCAGCTTCGCGGGAATCCCGGCCCTGGCCAGCACCTTCCAAGGCATCTCTCGCTTCACCGAATCATAGGCCTTCTTCAAGTCGACGAAGCACATGGAGAGCGGTATTTTCTTTCTCCGCCCCAGCTCCTGAAGGCGGTGCACGACAAACAGCATATCGACGGTGGATCGCCCGGGTCGAAATCCGCACTGTTCCTCCGGGAGGATGTTGGCTTCGCAGAAGGCGCTTAGACGGTTGGTGATGATCTTGGTGTGGACCTTGCCTACGTGAGCTAGTAGCGAAATCCCCCTGAAGTTGTAACAGTTGGACCGGTCACCCTTCTTGTACAGCACCTTGATGGTTGCATCCTTCTACTCTCGCGGGATATCTCCTCCGTTCCAGACTTTGACGAGGATGGTATGGAGGTGTCCCAGGACGAAGGGTTTGTCGTCATCGATCTTGAGCAACTCGGCAGGGAGGAAGTCATGGCCGGGTGCCTTCCAGTTCTTGGGGCCTTTCGTTGCCCGTGCCACCTCCTCGAGGTCTGGCACCTCTCCCAACCGTTGAGTGTCACATGTCGCTGGCCGATGCGTCACTCGTTCGATGATGTCTGGGTTCAGGGTGGGAGTTTGGTGTTGATTGAGTAGGGTGCTGAAGAACCTCGCCCACCGCTGGAGGATGTCGTCCCTGTTCCGGAGCAACACGCCGTTCTCATCCGCGACGAATTGCTGTCCCCACGCTTGTCTCCCGCTGAGGCCCACTGATCTCTTGAGGTGTTGGTACAGTCCTCGGATGTCGCGATCTTTGTAGATTGCTTCGAGTTCAGTCACATATCCGTCCAGGTGGGCATAAATGCCCGTGTCGACTGCTGTAGCCACTCCCTTGCATGCTGCTTTGAGAACCCTCCACGTTGCTGAGTTCCAGTTGCCCCTCATCGCCCGGCGCGCTTCCCGCCGTGGGTAAGGACCTGCTCCAGCGCTGCTCTCGTCTCTGGGGTCTCACACCACTCCTGCGTGCTGCGTATCCGCGGTTCCTGCCCTACGTTCGTCCGCGCTGCGTCGAGGAGAGCATTCGAAAAGTCGGTCGCCAATTCCGCGGCGGTGGTTGTTCGCTCGGCCAGTCGTGTGTCGAGATTGAGGAGGAACCGATTTGTCACCGCACACCGTGCTGCTTCGAATTGCAATTCCCGTTGGTTGAATTGCTTCTGCNCTGCTCCAGCGCTGCTCTCGTCTCTGGGGTCTCACACCACTCCTGCGTGCTGCGTATCCGCGGTTCCTGCCCTACGTTCGTCCGCGCTGCGTCGAGGAGAGCATTCGAAAAGTCGGTCGCCAATTCCGCGGCGGTGGTTGTTCGCTCGGCCAGTCGTGTGTCGAGATTGAGGAGGAACCGATTTGTCACCGCACACCGTGCTGCTTCGAATTGCAATTCCCGTTGGTTGAATTGCTTCTGCTTCGGTTTAGTCCGGACTGCACGGTTGTGGGCAAGCCTGCCACCGAGGTTGACGGTGGCTACTACCATATTGTAGCCTGAGTCTGCTATGACTGGGCGAACCGGCTGGGGGATGACAACCACATTAGATACTCGGCCGTGATGTGCCTGCCTTGTCAGGATGTAGTCAAGGCACTTGTAATCGGTTCCCGACACACCGTTGTGGTCTATATGTGCCATATTCCGCCCTTGCGTGTCTCGAAGAACGTGTTCGTGAGAGCTAGCCTGTTTTTCGTTGCGAAGTTCAACAGTAGCATGCCATTGTCGTTGAGCTCAGCACGCCCGTACATTCCTATTACCCTTCCGTCCCCTCCGTCCAACCTATCTCCCGTCCGCGCGTTGGCGTCCATTAGGATATACTACATACATTCTTTGGAAGGGATCCTCCGCACGAGTCTGTCAAGTTTTCCCCAGAACACGCGCTTTCTGTCGGCGGTTGAAGGTTCGGTTGGAGCATACGCGGCTACGAAGTTGACCACGGTGGCCTGCCAACAGAAACCCCATGGTCATAAGGCGTTCGTCGATAAACTCCGTAGTGAACGTGGATGTCTTGCACAATGACTCTTTGACGGCTATCCCCACACCATGGACTCCATCAGTCTCCGTGCCACAGCAAAACACCCGAAAACCCGCTGCTGCAAATTCCGTTCGACCTGCCCTCCGTGTCTCCTGCATTCCTACCACCGATGCGTCTTGTCTCGCTGCCTCGTGTAGAACGCTGTAGGCTGGCCCGTATCCATTGGCCCTGTTTACAGCCAAAGCCCGCACATGCCAGGTTGCTACCCTAAGAAGTTGACCCTGCTGTCTCTTTCGCGCGGCGCGCGCTGCTCTCTTAGCTAGCCTACACGCTGCCCGACCCCTCCTTTTCCTCCATCTTCCCCTCTTTTTTTGCTTTTTTGCTACCGGTATTTTGTTGCGAACACTCGGGCTGACGTGATAGTTTCCCCGGTTCTTGCCTTGTTTCTCATGGAGTTGTCTTCTTGTCCCGGAGCGGTGTGGCCCTCCATCTCTGGACTCTCTCCTTTCCTCTCTCTGGGGCATACCCCCACGGCGTGCGGTCACTCCGCCACCCTCACCGTGCTCTCTGCCGCTTCATAGCCCCGGTGTCCAAGCCAGAGGGCGTCAGGATCCAGTCTCATTTTGCAGCTACCAAATTCTGGCTGTTCACGAGATACCCCGATCTCACCACAGCAATAACTCCCAACCGCCAAACTCAGGATTCCCCTCTCAACAGTGCGCACGGACCGAGTCTTTGCTAGATTTTGGGATTACCAACTGACACGATTAATGTGAAGAAAAACAACAACAACAACAACAAGTGCTCGGGACCTTATATCCGTCTTTGCTGGGTGGTCTTTCGAGGTTTATATAGATCCACTTGCGGAACCTCTTCCCGGCCTGCCCCCCCCGGTCCCTGGGGTAGGCTGAGGGCGGGTTCCGCGGTAAAGCCGAATCGTCTGGTGGTGCTCGGTGGAAAAAACAAAAATTCAAGAATCGACTTCACAGATCGCTTTGAAACGCCCAAAAAAGAGGTTTTAAAAAAAAGGCAAACCAAAAAAAGTTGCCCTTCGCCGAGATTTTTTTTTCGCCGCATTCCTGAACTTTCATTGCCTTCATGGGGAATCGATTCCGTTTGGCCGATTTAGGGAGGGTAGAGCCACTCAGAAAGTTGGTCTTGTTGGGATTTGTATGCAAGAACTGACTCTATTCTACTGCATGGGTTTT